AACTTTGGGATTCTGTGGTGCATATAGAATTAGAAAAAGCAACAACATTTTCCAGAATGTTGTTGAAGATAAATAGGAAGATCTATGTGAAATAATGGTGAATTTGATAGCAACAGCCCTACAGAAAGAGAAACACAAAATTGAGAATGACATTGATGAGGTCTACAGAGTATACACGCATTACGCCCGAAGACACAGACTACCCCAAGAAGTCCACATCCGATTCGCGAGAAAGATGATACGAGACATGCTATACGGAAAGACCAGAGATGAGCCACTGATATATAAAGATCATGAAGTGGTAACGTTGAAGCAAATACCCAGGAGAGTTAGGGAGCAAAGAAGGGGCTACCAGTTTTTGTCATCTCAGTTAATTAAAAATGGTATATCGTTCAGATGGCTCACCCCAGAAGGGCTCTAGTAGCATGGCAGGATAAAAAATATAAAATCAACACAATAGAGAAAGCACATCAATTTTGCGAACAATATCTGGGACCTGAAGAAGAACGTGAAAGTGGAGAAGATTTAAATACAAGAAGCCAGGAAGAACAATTATCTGAAGAGAAAGAACCCGTGCCACAGTCAGAATCTCAGAAACTTAGAGAAGATGAGGACAACAGACCAAGTACAAGAGGACCCAGAACAAGGAAAGAAACAAAAAATGCTCTACACAGACTAATATGAACAGAGAAATTACCTTATTCTCAGTTAATATCAATGGTTTAAATTCAACATTAAAAAGAAAACAGTCATTTGAAAAACTTAAAAAGCAAAATGCAGATATAACTTGTATACAAGAGGTACATATCATAGACAAACAGGCAGACCTCCTAAAGGATACTAATTTGGGAAAAATGTATAGGGCTCTTTCAAATCAAAGAAAAAGGGGTATTGTGGTATATATACAAGATTGGCTGCAACACAAACAAGTATATAAGGATGATGTTGGAAGAATGTTATTTATAGAAACAATATTAAATCAGAAAAAGACCTTGTTAGTTACAGTATATGCCCCGAATATAAATCAAAAAGAATTTTATAAAAACTCCATCATAAGATAGTAGAAAATGAATATACAAATGTATGTATTGTAGGAGATTTAAATGCTGTTTCAGACAAGGATAAAGACTATAAAAGTTCCAAAAAAAAAACCACAACAAAAATAAAAGGAGACTATTCCCATCGTATTTTAATAACATGGTAAGGGAATTAAACTTGAAGGATGTGTGAAGAGAACTATATCCAAACAAAAGGCAATATACTTTCTTTTCCAATCCCCATCATTCTTGGTCTAGAATAGATCAGATTTGGATGGACCCAGGTTTAATGGAAAACATTGAAAACATAAGAGATTTTGCCAATGTATGGGCTGATCATAATCCTATTCAAATTAAGTGGAAAGGAAAGAGAACAATTGGAAGATGGACATTTAATAATAGTATATTAAAAGATAACGAATATATTGAAATGTTGAGAAAAGAATTGAAAGTATTTTTTGAAATAAATAAGAGAGAGCATACATCTCTTCAAAAATCTTTGGGATAAAACAAAAGCCTATGTGAGAGGTTTAACTATTGGCTATAATATTAAAAAATAAATAAAGAAAAAAAGACAACAAAATGTGTGGAGAGAGAAGCTTAAAGATTTAGAAATAAGTAGTTAAGTTGATCCAAATAATCAAAATATTAGTAAAGAAATAGATTTGGTAAAACATAAGATAAATTTAAGTATGCAGGAAGACCTGGCCCGAAAAGTTAAATCAGCAAAACAAAATTATTTTGAAAATGCAAATAAGCCAGGGAGATGGTTAGCCCACAAAATAAAAAAAGAAGAAGAAAAAGAACGATTGTAGCTCTCCAAGACCAAGAAGGGAAAATATGTACCCAGGGTAAGGAAAAGAAAGAGATTGCCAAGGACTTTTTTACAAATCTATACAATCAAGAAGTACCAGAACAACTTATTAACCAATATTTGGAAGAAGAAAAAATTACCGGAAATTACGGATGAAGAGAAATGTATTTTAAATAATAAAATACCCACAGAAGAAATTAGAAAGGCAATTGGAGCCCAAAAACTAAATAAAACCCCAGGCCCGGATGGAATTCCGTCTGAATTCTATAAGGAGTTCCAAGAGTTATTGGAGGAATTAATGGCAGATTTATATAATGAAGCCTTGGATAACGCTAATATACCAAAATCATGGACCGAAGCATATATAACCCTTATTCACAAAGAGCAGTCAGACCCACAAAAAATTCAAAATTATAGGCCAATATCACTTTTAAACGTAGATTTCAAGATTTTGGCCACAATATTGGAGGAAAGATTAAAGAAAATATTAAGTAGGATTATCCATACTGACCAGAATGGGTTTTTGCCATATAGACAAATGAAGACAAATACAAGAATAATTATGGATGTTTTAGAATACTATGAATACTAAAACAATGGCACTGATATTTTTAGATGCTCAGAAGGCATTTGACAATTTAAATTGGAATTTTCTTATTAAACAATTGACAGGCATGAAATTTGGTGAAATTTTTTTAGGATTCATTAAAACAATATACAACATCCAAACCACAAAAATATTAATAAATGGGGAAAATACAGATAATATAAGGATAAACAAAGGTGTAAGACAAGGATGTCCCTTGGCTCCCCTACTTTATATATTAGCAGAAGAGACACTATTGGTACAAATCCGACAAAACCAAGAGATCAGAGAGCTAAAAGTTAAAATGAGTACAAACTTCAAGCATTTGCTGATGATATGTCCTTTATAGTGGAAGATCCCCTGGAAACGACACCTATTTTGATGAAAGAAATAGAACAATATGGAAAGGTTGCAGGGTTAAAAATTAATAAAGAAAAAACAAAAGTGGTAACAAAAAACTGTACAAATGAACAAAAGGAAGAACTAAAAATAATTAGGGATACAGGTGGTAAATAAAGTAAAATATTTGGGGATATGGCTGACAGCTAGGTGCTCATCAATTAAAAAAGATAATTATGATAAATTAACAATTCAAATCTTTAAAGACTTAGATAATTGGGGTAAACTACAAATATCTTTATTGGGCCATATTGCATTAGTAAAAATGAACGTTCTGCCAAAATTCTTGCTTCTATTTCAGACGGTGCCAATCAAGTTGGAAAAAAGCTTTTTTGAAGAACTAAATAAACATATATCCAAATTTATATGGCAAGGGAAAAAACCCAGAATAAAATATAAATTATTGCAAGATGATAGAAAGAAAGGAGGCTTTGGTCTTCCAGATTTTGAAATATATTACCATGCTGCGATAGCAACTTGGCTTAAAGACTGGGTTAATTTGATAAACAAAAGGATTTTAACACTAGAGGGTTCTGATCTCCAACTTGGATGGCACGCATTTATGTGGGATGGAAAGAGTAAACACCACTTTCAAAGGCATTATATAAGGAATGTGCTATTAAATATTTGGGAAAACATTAAAAAAGTACATTATTGCAAGGTCCCACTGTGGTTATCCACAATGGAGGCAGTTACACATCCAAATGTCTTAGATTTTGACAATATTGTAAGATATAAAGATTTATTACATCAAAATGGAGAGTTAAAGGCTAGGAATCAAATACAAATTTTAGGAAAAGAGGTGGCCCTATGCGCAGATACAAAAGATAAAGAACAATTTGGTTTTAACATGACCTACCAAGAATTAGATAAAATTTGGCAAGGAGAGGAAAGGAAGATGATTAGTAAAATATATAAATATCTATTGGATTATAAACTAAAAGAAGAAACAATCAAAGAGTGTATGATAATTTGGGCAAAAAATGTGGGCCACAGTATTGAATTAAACAAGTGGGAAAATATTTGGGAAACAAACTACAAATTAACTATGTCAGCCTCGTATAAAGAGAACCTCTATAAAATGGTGTATCTTTGGTACTTGCCACCCGCGAGACTAGCTAAGATGTTCCCGAACCTTCCCCCAAACTGTTGGAAGTGTAACTGCGTCCAGGGAACATATTTTCATATGTGGTGGACCTGTCCATTTGCGCAAAAGTTTTGGAAAAATATCAAAAATTAGATTTTAAATATAACTAAACAAGAAGTAAAACTTGAACCCGAAACTTTCTTGCTGGGTATGATAGATTCAAAAATGGAAAAAAAAAATACAAATATTTAATTCTACACATTATAACGGCAGCTAGAATAAGCTATGCACAAATTTGGAAATTGTCTACCACCTCTTCAGAGGAGATGGTCATCAAAAAAATTCACGAGTGCGCAGAAATGGATAGCCTAACTAAACTACTAAAAAATAACCAAGATAGTGATTATTATAAAACATGGAATTGCTGGTATGAATGGTTAAAGAAAAGGAAATATTTGACAACTGGATAAGCTATAAAGTTATTGAAGACGTGCATTTTATCATAAAGCATTTTGTGAAACTAAGGCATTGAAAGGACGAAGAAGGTATTGTAACAAGGCAGATCACATCATTGTTAAAAAATGTTAAAAAATGTGTAACCATTGCTCAACTTTTTGCTGCAAAATGTATATATGTATATATATCCATTTATATGTTTGTTTGTTTTTTAAATGTTTTAAATGTATGATTCTTTAATAAACTTTATTTTAAAATTTAAAAATTTAAAAAAAAACTAAGGGCAGACTCTTAAGGGTCTTCTAAAATTTGCTAGGAAATATGTATACATAAGAAAATCATAATACATTATCTCTAAATTAAAATGAAATGATGCTAATGCAATTATTGTGTGCAACCCTGTGGACATAAATTGTCATATTGATTTTTGCAAGCTCCTCTGTGGCCCTTTTTGGTTGAACAGCACACAACTACATATAATTATGTATTTATATTTCATCTTTATTTCATCATGAAATTCTAGGAAGCACACATTGGGGTTCCCAGATGTCTTTTCATATAGCTATTAACAAAAACAACACATGCAAAGATTCAGCAGGATTATTTCATCATATGCTTCAGTCACACTGGCTTTACTTCTTGTAAGTTCTTGAAGATTCCTTTACTTGAAACTGATAAACTGAATTCGTAAGGTTCTGAATGAAGATTCAAATACTCTTTGCCTGCTTTTATTTCCCAAAAAGCATTGGGAGAATCTCTGTGAAACCCAATATTTCATTTCAAATTCATTTCTGTAACTGAGTTTCCTAGTTTCCATGTTAGGAGCCTATACAATATCTAAGCATGCCTTGAGTAGACTTTCTTATTAATCTTCATTAACTTAACAAAATTGCTGCTTGAGCATTGTTTCCTCAATGAATATTTAATGTTTATGAGGTCTAAAAACATAGAAGGAATCTATGGGAAAATGTATAAAGAGTGGAGAAGGGAGGGTTTGAAAGTTTGCATGATTGTATGATTATGCCATAAAGGGTATAGTGAGAATAATAATGACCTAACATGAAATCCAATTGGACTGGGATTTGGGAATATCATTTAGCACATTAATGGGAATGACTTGTTCATCTTTTTTCATGAAGCTTTGTCTTGCTCAGTGCTTCTGATACTAAAGATATTACTTGGTGAACTTTTGACCCACTTATTACAACATTAGTGGACATTAATGTTACATTCCAGGTGCAGCAAAGATTTCTTTTTTAAAAAATAATGTATGATTCTTCTCTTAGCGGCTGTTTTTGAAAGCTTTAAAGGGGACATGCTTTGTTTAACCTTAGGAACATAGTATCAGTAACATAGATATGCAAACCGCGGGCCTGTGCCCTGAAGACACAGCTGAACGTGCAAAGTGGTGTTCAATGACCCGAAAGGCAGACCCTGCACTTGCAGGAATTCTCTAGGAAGAGGAGGAGGAGAGGCAGGAGGGGAGGAAGGGGAAGAAGAAGAAGAGTAACATAGTAATTGTCCTTTTCTTAGGATCTTCAATCCTTTCAAAAAAAAATCTTAGACATGGTAATAAACAACAACAATGTTGCATGTGTGGTAATAAACTACAGATAAAGAAATAAACTACAGACAGTACTTAATTTATGATTACAACTGGAACTACATTTCCTACTTTCTTTGGTATTTCCAGTCATAAGTAGAGGCACCCACACGATTGAATCTGATTTCCTAATAGTTTTTGTGACAGTCATTAACTTAATCACCACGATTATAAAGCAAATCTGCATTAAGCCAAGGCTGCATTCATAACTGTAAACACATTCTTATGAATGGGTGGTTTTGCTTGAAACTGACAAAAATGTCACAAATTGTGGTCACATGATTGTGGGACATTGCACCAGTTGTAAAGATGAGCCAATTCCTAAGCACCTGAAATAAGAATTCCAAACCCATGTAGTATTTTTCTCTGCATTTCCAGTTTAAAAAAAAGTTTAATGGAATAACAGCGTTGGAAGGGACCTTGGAGGTCTTCTAGTCCAACCCCCTGTAACCCTGTAACACTTGAGACAAATAGTTGTCCATTTCTTCTTAAAAACCTCTAGTGTTGGAGCATCCACAAATTCTGGAGGCAAGCCATTCCACTGATTAGTTACACAAAATAGCCTGGGCTTTAAAAATTAAAAGAGAAAGAAAATAGAGCTTTCGATGTATTTTCTCAGTCATGCCACTAATTTATTTGACACTGTCAATGTCTAAGATGTTGGACTTACCTGCCATGTCCTGGTAGAAAAGACTGCTCAACATCCACTGAAAGTAAGGCCATGGCTGAGACTGCCTCTGTCTCCTCTCTCTCTTGGGTTTCAGCCAGCTTACAGCTAACTGGCACGATGTAAGGCTTCACAGACTTCCAGTACTTCCCTAAAGAAAACACACCATAATTTATGGGAAATTTCACTAGCACGGTGGTATAAGCCCAAGTAGATGCTTAAGTCCAACACAGAGAGCTTCTAAGCATATGAATATGAATAACTGGGATTCCAAATGACTGCGATGAAGTTATGGGCCTCGGTGCCAAGTTGGAAAGTTCTCTCTCTTTCCAAGGTCTATGTCACAGCCTTCTGAGAAAGTAATACACTGAAAAGATCAGCACAGAATTTAATGAACTCCGAGTATCTGAAAAGGAACTACTAAGGTTTTTATTTCTGTAGAATGAGTATTTACTACACTATCAATATTTTAAAGATCTGGCATTTCTTAGAACTGGAAGAAATGGGCTGGATGAAGATAAAGAGCAATCCAGAAATGACTATGACAGGAGCAGAAACTGGAAAGACCAGAACTGATCTTTCTAATAGTAATATATTTTTCTATCGGAAAAATCAGGTTCGTTAGTTCTGGACGTTATTTCATCTATACACATCAGGAGATGTACTAAAACAATAATTTATTTGACATGATTATATACACCAGTGATCCCCAACCTTTTTTACGCCGCGGCCCGGTACCGGCATCAGCTGGGCGCCACGGCCCGGTACCGGCATCAGCTGGGCGCCGCCATCTTTTTTTGATGAAAAAGTGCTTCCGGTGACATCACCGGAAGCACTTTTTCATCAAAAAAAGATGGCGCCAGCGCTTCCGGTGAGCTTTTCCGGGTAGAAATGGCTTTCTACCTGGAAAAGCTCACCGGAAGCGCTGGCGCCGCCATCTTTTTTTGATGAAAACATGCTTCCGGTGAGCTTTCTACCCGGAAAAGCTCACCGGAAGCACTTTTTCATCAAAAAAAGATGGCGGCACCCAGCAAGCCAGCGGCCCGGTAGGACTTGTTCCGCGGCCCGGTACCGGTCCGCGGCCCGGTGGTTGGGGACCCCTGATATACACTAGACTTTTCCCTTTTCTTTTGATGTCTTCGAATCTGTTGATTCCTAATGACCACCTTGATAAGTCCCTGAGGTTTTCTTGGCTAGATTTCAGAAGTGCATCCCTTCCTAGGGTTGAGAGATAGGAACTAGCCCAAGATCACCCTGCTGGCTTTGTGCCTAAGGCAGGATTAATTTGTGGCCTCCCAATTTCTAATTCGATGCCTTAACTATTACACCAATCTATCTCTCTTTGATATAGGGCCATATATTATAAGGAAGCATTCAAAAGAGATAGGAAATGAAATACTGATTCATAAACCAGTTTGGTACAAACCAAGAAATAGTAGATAGAAACCAGGAAAGAAACAGTGGATAGAAACCAGGAAAGTGTGAATTCTAGGTCTCCCTTACGCATGAACGCTGGCTGGTTGGCTTTAGATCAGTCTTAGGTCTTTCAGACCAACCCCACCTCAAAAAGTTGCTGTTATAGGGAAAATAGGAGCACTAGGTGTGCCTTGAGATGACTAAATATCTGTTAAAAATTCAGGATAAAATAATAATGAAAATAATATAATCTTTGGGTTTTTTAAAAAAGAGTTTTTAAATTCCTGCTGATATAACTTTTTTTAAAGAAACAAACCAGATAAATAGACAAAAATATTTTGAATTATGAATAATATTTATGAATAGCACACACCTATTTTTCTGATAAAATTTCCCTGGTGTGTACTCCATACGTGCTAGAATTGACACCTCAACAATTCCACAGAACAATTTTGGGAGTTAGGTTCACAGAACATTGAAGGAAGGAACCAATTTAATGAAATCTGACTTACTCCTTTCTAATTGGGAGTTTGGAGTATAGTCTGGCTAGGTTTGTATTTCTTCCAAAGATCTGCTACAGATAAGTTTAAGAATATTCCTGGGAACTTAGAATAAACTTTATGGAGAAGACAGCTTTTTCATAGAATACTCAAAACAGTTTTCAGAATCATTGGAGTAATGACTTTAAACTTTTTCAGATCTCTAGAGGCTAGAACTTGCAATCTGCATATGATTAATGAAGGATCTTGTATCACTTTGAAGACTAGTACATTGAATACAGCTTAAGATTTTGAAAATTCTACTTAACAGAAAGAGATAAATTAGAAAAATCTAAAACTGAAATGAAAATGTGCATTAATTCAAACTTTTCAGATTTAATTGATTCAATTAAATTCCAAAAATTGCTGTAAACATATATGAAAAGCATCTTTGATAGTGAACTGTTTTTATTGACCATGTTAGTATAAATTCAAAATTTTCAGTATAGCCGCCACGGCTGATTTTTTTCCTGCTACACGTCTCTAAACAAGGTTACCTTTAAAACTGTCTTGCATCACTTAAACTGGTATGGTTGTATTGTATCAAATCTTGGTATGATCCTTGGGAAGCTGGGTGGGAAAACTCTTTTGGATTCTTTTACCAAGCCAAAAATAGTTAATGAATCTCATTAGTTATAGTATATGTAGTGCTAGAATTGCGTCCTCTACCATTCTACCAGCCAATACTTTGCTAGAAGACTTCAAGCAAAGGTAAATGAGAAGTCTGTGCTAGGTTTCCAGCAAAGAAAATGTGAGTTATTTTTATTAAACTATATTAAAATCCAGCTATAAATACAATGACTCGAAACTAAATTGGAAGCAACTTGCTTTTTGCTGCAGCACAGTTTAAATCAAGAGGCAGGGTTTCTTTCATCCATCTGTTTGGTACCTCAACAAAATGTCTACGCCTTCCAAAGTGGTGGGATTCAGATTTTTTAACAACCGGTTCTGTGGATGTGGCTTAGTTGGTGGGTGTGGCTTGGTAGTCATGTGACTGGCTAGGCATGGCCAACTCAACATCACTCACATCAAGGCACGCATCTCCTCGCCTGGCCTCTTGTGACTGTGGGGATGCTGCAACAGTTGTAAGTGTGAAAAATGGTCATGTCACTTTTTTCAGTGCCATTGTAACTTTGAATGGTCACTCCACACAAGCAAAGTACCAGCAAAGGAGGAAAAAAACCCTCCAGAGACGTTCTTGAGACAGGAAGTCTAGTCCTGCCAAGAATGTAATAAGGGTTAACGGAGAGGCAGTTTCTGTAAGCAACACCAGAATGCCTCCTTCCTGCCTTCCTTACAGGATTAGGCCAGTAATTTCTTCTAACAACCAGTTCTCCGAACTGCTTAGAATGTTAACAACCGGTTCTAGCGAATAGGTGCGAACTGGTGGAATCCCACCCCTGGCCTTCCACCTGTGGAACTGCTTCCAGATTCAAGGTGGTACGAGAGATATTCCCTTATGTGTTTCAGTCACCGACCACCACTGAGCCAGAGTGGTTTGGGGGGGTTGGACTAGATGATCTATAAGGTCCCTTCCAATTCTGGTATTCTGTTCTGTTCTTATTAAAAGTGGTAAACTGGCAAAGGAGAAGGTAAAAGAAAACTAGCTTGATCAACTTATGCAACATGATATGGAGACAGTTCCTTTGAAAGAAATTACCAGAACTCCTTAAGTTGTTACTAGGATCTATATATAATGGAGGATTTTATGGGGATAAAGTCTGAAATACATTACAAAATTAAGATTCCCAGCTGCAACCCTATACCCACTTAACTTAGACTAAGTCCCATCTGAACTCAATAGGACTTGCTTCTGAGTAATGTATGAAAATGCACTAAAAGCATCAGAAAATTGGCTTTTTTCCAACTTGTAAAATGCTTGACATTCCCCATGTCCTCCTATGTTTAAGGCAGCATAATTGTTAGATCTGGAAAAATAGCATGTAAAAATACAAAAATAACATTATTATCGAACTACTTAGAAACTACAATAAAGCAAACAAACCAAGTTATAGAGATATTCCACAATGTTCTCACAGACCATTAAGCCACAGTCACCATTTGCAGGGAACAAAGTATTCAATCCCATTTATTTATGGATTTCAGTGTTCACAAAGTGGCTGAGTGGGTGTTTCAAGAACAAGCATATGGGTAAGCAATCTAAATATATTGCAATAGGAATAATATTCTACTTTGCTATAAATTAAATGATATTCCATGGTTCATTTCTGAGCTTCTGTAAGGGCATTAAAATTTCAAATAATAGTAGCCCACAGCTAGAATTTTGGCCTTCTATAACTGCATCCTTCAAATTTCATCTGACTCAAAATCTCACAAATGTGCTAATAACAATTGGCCAAAGTAGGGACACTTTCACTTTTCCTATTCCTTTCAATGAAATCAGCACAACACTCAATGTCCTCATGTTTGCTTTGATCATTTTTCTAAGCAGGCAGAATGAAAATGTATTGTAACACTCACAAAATTGTGTTCAGTTCTTTTTTGTTAAAAAAAAATGTAAACTATCCCAAATATTTCCCTGTCAGTTGTGGAAATAAGATTTTTTTTTTCTTATTTCTCTGCCTTTGGCTTTGCAAAACGGCTGTGTTTTGCTTGGTAGGATGCAGTTTTCTTGCTGAAGTGGTAAGATTGCCTTTGTGTTATACAGAAATCTTGTTTGGGAAGTTTAGTTCTGAAAGAATCTTTCATGTGCAGTTGCAAAAAACCCTTCTGGTTATTGGTACTATCAGACAAAGGTTTGAAACACCTTAATGTGAAGCAATGCAAGGGCTTTACTGTGTTTTAGTAGTAGAAGAGGTCAACAAACAGCTTCGAAAGAGTGTTTACATAAACTTTATTCAAAAGAAAACACCTTTCTGAAGCTTACAAGACTTTGCATGGGATGTACCATTAACAGATGCTAGGATGGTAGACATTGGGAAATACTATTAGTGACTGGAATGGGCTAGTCTACAAGACAGTACTAAGGCACTGATTCTAGCAGCACAAAAACAGACACTAAGCAGCAGCTCCATAAAAGTGGGTCTACCACACTAGACAGGACCCAAAGTGCAGTTCAATACACACTAGATATGACTCAAAGACAGTTCAGTATATAGTGGCAGCTTGCATTGTGTACAAGAACATTTGCATGGAATATGGGCTAGACCTTCCTAAGTCCAGATGGACATCCCATAGAAGATTGAAGAATAAGGAAATTAAGATTCAATTAGACTTCCAGATCCTGACAGACAGGCAGGTACTAGCCAACCTACCAGACATTATGATAACAGACAAAGACCAAAAGACAGCCATGGTGATAAATGTAGTGGTAGCAAATCAGGAAGAAAGAGTATGAGAATCAAGAAGAAAGAATGAGAATATAAAGAAGTACAAGGACCTGAAGGAGAAATTGGTCAGGATATGGAAAATAAAATAAAGTGGTTCCAGTAAGAACTTGAGGCTGTGACTCCTAAACTGGGAGAGTGGCTCCAAGAGATCCCAGGAATGACATCAGAACTTTCTGTCCAGAGGAGTGCAGGACTAGGAACTGCTAAGGTCCTGCGCAGTAGCCTCAAACTCCCAGATCTCTGGTAGAGGACTCAAGATTGAAGACACATACCATCCATAAGAGGAGAAGATATTGATCAAGATATTAATATAATTCAGGAATTATTCACATCCAGCTTTGACAATGCCTAGAATAGAATAACAGAGTTGGAAGGTCTTGGAGGCCTTCTAGCCCAGGCAGGAAACCCTATACCACTTCATACAAATAGTTGTCCAATCTCTTCTTAATAATTTCCAGCATTCTTCTGGTACACTAATTTTGTCACTTGGTTGAAAAATGCAACAAGATTTGTCTGACACAATCTGTTTTTGACAAACCCATCTTGGCTTTTGATTATGACTTTGTTTGCCTCTAGGTGTTCAGTGATTCATTGCTTATCTTTTCTAGAATCTTCCCAGGTATGAGGTCAGGCTGATAGGTCTGAAGTTCTTGGATGTAATTCCCCACCCACTTTTTGAAGATCAGAAGTACATCAGCTCTTTTCCAGTCCTCTGGTAGTTCCCTGGTGCTCCAGGATCTTTGAAAGATATCGTTCAATGGTTCTGAAATCACAGCTGCCAGTTCCTTCAGAACTTTGGAGTGTAATACATCTGGTTCAGTGAGTTGAACTTGTCAAGGAAAGACAGGTACTGACTTACCATTTTCTTATCTATTTGAATTTGTATTCCTAATCTGTTTTTTACGGTACTGCTTTTAATAGGTTGGGCTGTTTTTCCCTTTTGTATAAAGACGCAAGCAAAAAATGAGTTAAGGCTAAGCAGTTCTGCTTTCTCCCTGTTGCTTGTCACCCCTTTGCCAATTTCTTCCACTAATGGACCAATCATTTCTTTGATTTTTTTTCTTGTTTTTTTACATGTTGAAAGAAGCTTTTTTTATTGTTGTTATTTTTGACTTTTGTCTCAAGCCTTAGTTCATATTGAGCTGTAGCTTTCCTCACTTCATCTATGCATGCTCAGGTAAATAGCTTATATTCTGCCTTAGTTATGTGCCCACCCTTCCACTTTTTATATTGTCCCTTTTGTCTTTCAATTTATCATACAGTTCTTTATGTAGCCATGCTGGTTTCTTTTGAGAGCTGTTATTTTTCTTCTTCATTGATATTGGGCCAGACCAGAGGTACCAAACTTGATTTCATTGAGGGCCACATCAGGGTTGTGTTTGACCTCAAGAGGGTGGAGGGGGCATGGCCGGCTGCGATGGCCTTGTGCAGCCCTCTGCCAGTGAAAATGGAGGTTGGAGGGCCGTGTGCTTTAGTTGGCAGAGGGCTGCAGGAAGCCATCACTGAAAAAGGGGCCCACGGTGACCTCTGCTGTCAATGGCAGAAGGCTGCAGGAAGCCATCACAGCCAAAATGGGGCCCAGGGGGCTGTGCACCGGCCTCCCAAGCTCCATTTTCACTGGCAGAGGGACTGGGGCTGGTCATTCTCTGTTTCCAGAGTGGTCCCGTGGGCCAGATTTAAGCACCTAGCAGACCAGATCTGGCCCATGGACTTTGAGTTTGATACCCCTGTGCTAGACTGTTCTTTTATAATCTCTGTTTTTAAAGTTTCCCAAGTTTTCGCCTTGACGATTCTCAATCATGGAGTCCTTTCCAAGCTTTCTCTAAGTTTATTGAAATTAGCTCTCTTAAAGTCCAGGACTCTAGTTTGACCTTGTTCTATTGCTTGTGCTTGTGCTTAATGTTGAATTCCAATATTCCAAGGTTCCTATGGTTTCAACACTTTCTATCATTTCATCTCTATTAGTGAGAATTAAGTCCAATATGGCTGATCCCCTAGTTACCTTCTCTACTTTTTGAGATACAAAGTTGTCTACTAGGTTTGTCAGGAACCTGGTTTGATCTTCCATTTGGTACTGAGTTGATCTCTCAGTCAATGTCAGGGTAGTTAAAGTCCTGCATTACTCTTGTGATGTGCTTACTACATATCTTAGTAACTGACTAGTAAAAAGTTCATCTATTTTCTCTGTTTGTTTGGATGGGCTTTCGCATACACCTATGGCAATGTCATTTCCCCCATTTATATTGCCACAAATTCATTCAAAAACACAGTTTTTATCATCATTGTCCTCTAATTCTGTAGAGATATAATTATTTCTTATATATAGTGCAACTCCACCTTTTCTTTTATTTGGACTGTTTATTTTAAATAATTTAAATTCCTCTAGTGGTAGCCCTTGATCCAAAAAGTTAGTATATTCTTGACATACCATATTTTTCGGAGTATAAGACACTCTGAGGTATAAGAGACACCTAGCTTTTGGGAAGGAAAACAAGAAAACAAATTTGCCTCTGCCTCCCAGCAATTTGTCTCCTTGCAGCAAACAGCTTGGTCAGCTTCAGCATAGCCTGTTTGGCACAAGCAGCTGATTGTCGGTTGTATCAGCCTCCTGATGATCAACTGTTTCAGGCTTCAGGGATCACCATTGCTTATTGCCGCCTCTGCGTGTCCCGTTTTCTGCCTCCGCATGCCCCATTTTTTGGCCTCTGTGAGCCCCATTTTTGGCCCATTCCAGATGGGGGATTGGAACAGGTGGAAAATGGGGCACGTGAAGGCCAAAAATGGGATGCAGAGGCCGAAAATGGGGTGCATGGAGGCAGCAATAGGCGATGGCAATCCCTGCAGCCTGAAACAGCTGATCGTCAGGAGGCTTATCCAACCGACAATCAGCTGCTTGTGCTAATCAGGCTGTGCTAAAGGAGGCAAATTGCTGGGAGCAGAGGCAGAAGGGTGAGGGCCAGTGGGTTGGCGGACTTTGGCAACATTTTCTGTATGAGATGCATAGACATTTCCACCCACTTTGGGGGGGGGGAGCATCTTATACTCCGAAAAATATGGTAATTCAAAGATGGGTCTGTAAACTCCATATAAAGGTTATCATCACTCTTCTGAAAAACACATCAGGAATCCTGATCCAGCTATCTTTATTTTCTAAGAGATTATTTACATTAAAATTGTAATACTAGTATATTATTGTATTATACATAATTATTATAAACCTTAAATAACACATATAAATAACAATGACCTTTTCCCCAGTTATACCAGTAAATGAGAAATTGGAAAGATAAGCATCTGCAATTTAGGTTAATATCTGAAAAAAAACTGAGGAAAATATGGACAGTGGCAAAATTAGATAATAGCTCCATATTGGATCCATCAAGAAGGAAACAGCAGGGCAAATATTTGCAGCTCAAGAACAAGCACTTAGAACAACTGAATAAAAATGAAAATTCAAACCATTAAAAACAATAGCAAATATAGGTTATGTAAAGAGAAAGATGAAACCCTTCACAAACTGTATCAAAATTATCTGGAAAAATTATAAGAGAAGATATAAACTCTGGCAAAAAAGGTACAATGGGATTTATATAAAAATGTGGATCTGATTTCATAGATTATTAGTGTGACTGCAATATTGAAAAAAGTTTTAGAATGATCATGTATTTTTTTTTTAGATTTCTGAATTTATATAGATCAACATCTAGGACATAACACTCCATACAATAGTTAATTACTACAAGTTTAACTTATGAACGTGCTAATAGCAAAGCATAACAGCGTAGCTCAAAAAGAAGTTAAAAACATTGGGATTTAACAATAAAATACAGAGTGTATGGTGTAAATCTTTAACATTTAACACCATAGCTAATAGAGCAAAAAGAGCAAAAATAGAAGAGTTGTCAAAATGACTGAAAACATTAGAATTATTTATCTGTACAACATTCATCTTAGAAAAACAGCTATATTTAGAATTTTAAACATATTAGAATTAGAATTAGAAGAACTTTATTGTCATTCAAGTACAACGAAACTGTGGATACATCCCAGCAACTGTTCACAATACAATAAAACCAAAGCACTTAAAAATGAATATAAGAAAAAGAGTACCCATGTCTCCATTTGCAATTTGAGAGTCAATATCTACGAATATACGCAAAATATACATCCAACACAATATTACAGCAATACTTGGAATATTTTGGAAACTTATATACTGTATGACCAGTATGTATTTTTAGAGAACAGAAATAGTGAGTACCCATATATCCAGAAAAATAAAAGGTAAATTACAAGGGATAGAAAATATACTATGACATTGAAGCCAATGCTGAGAAGCAATCACTATTAGTTGCTTTCTGATCTACCTCAATTTGCCTTCAAAATTCAAATGTGCCACCAGCTTTACAGATTATGGACTCTAAAATGAGCCCTATCACGCATCTTTGAATGTGAGTTTCCTCAATATATATAAACAATCCACTTTCATTAGAAACAGTTGCCCAGGTATTTAAAGCTTCAGTTTATGGGAGAGCTGTCAAAAAGACCCAAAAAAGAAAAAAGGTATTTCGCAACTTCTATTAATGGAGGGAGAAAGAAGAATTCACCAGATGATTATATGATGCTTTTTAGTTTTTATGCCATGACCAGTGAGAAAAAATGGATTGTTTACATATCCTAAAAGACAGTTCAGTTAATAATGGCAATACTAAATGTTTAGAGATGAGTAATCCCTGAAACTTACTATGAATTGCAGTGGATTTTTGCAAGGAAACTATTGCGTTCACATTAGGTGTTTGATGAAGAATGTCTTCAGAGATGGGTTCCAACTGGAAAAAAAATAAAAGAAATCAAATAGAAAAGGGTATGAATATACTGAAAATTCAGTGGAAACAAAAGCACATCAAAAATATTGAATTCTGAAACTATCAGTCAGAGAGATAACTTATTGTGACTCTTCCTTGCTGTTCCATAGAAAGACATAGTTTTTGCTTTCTATTTTTCAACCATGTAATTGAATTCCAAGGGGGCTTTCCAATGACTGCAAGACTAATTTACAGAGACTCTTGAGCAGGTGCATGTCTATGTAATAGTCATTTAAAAATGTTAGTTATTTCTGTAATTTTGGTAAGCTACTCACAAATCAAATTCCACTATGTCTATATGTGCAGCTGTACACCAAAACAAAACATTACTGAAGCTGCTTTAGAATTGAAAAGATCATACAATATAAACATCCACCCCACAATTAATATGACTAAAATAAAAAATAAAAAATTCGCACATTAATTTGATGTGCATTACACTATACCTGTGAGTAAAACATAATATTATGTTAATGTAGCATCTTATGTATAGTGCAATTATGGCTTGTAATGTTGAAATTTGTCTTCATATTCCTGTATAACCATTTGGCATGTATAGATGTATTTACTTAGACTATGGAAAAATTGTCACTGTTTACACAGGCTTGTCATCTGCATACACAACTTTGTAATGTGGTACAATTCTACTGTAAGTAGGTAAGTAAGTAAGTAAAAATACTTTCAAAATTAAAGAGAACTTGGTATTTGCAGGTTTGAAACTATTTAAATTGGGAAGATAAAAGTCCAGTAACCATATTTAATGTTATTCCAATTAATCTGGCCTTAATTCTAGAGATGAATTGGATATTAACTAAAATAATTGTGTTCCTTATATTAGCTTTAACATAGATTTATTTTTCAAATTCCTGATTGATATAATTCCTTCTCGATAAAAATGGTAGGTTTATTGGAATGGCATTATTTATTGAGCTATAGTTGCAATAAGCAATACTTTAAACATATATATTTATTGAAAAGGGAGGCATGTTGTTGATAGAACTTCACCAAAAGGATAATAAATTTAGTTCCTAAAGCATCAAGAATGCAAATCCAGATGCGAAGCTAATATTACTGTGTGTCATATGTGCATATTGGCGGTTCCGATAATATTAATGGATGAGTATAATAGATACAAGTTATAATTTAACCAATATGCAAGTTGAACCTAAGCAAATATAGTACATAATAATATAATTATTCTCGTATATTTAATAATTCTCCCTTTGTGTCACCTTTACAGCTTTGGCAAACAGCTAAAAATTCGATTTAGAACTTTGGCCTCAGTTCCTCTGTCAGCTTCTGCACCATGTCAGTAAAACCTCATCAGAATCCTGAGGTAGAATCATTATGCTCTCACCTTTTTTGACCCAGATGCACTCTTGTTAGGAACCACTTAAAAAAGAAAACAGGGATTGTAACAAATCATGTCTTCTTTGAGAAGGAGAGAATCTGCATTGCAGAGAATAATTTTTGATGGCAATGATCCATTTTTAAAATCATTAAACTAAATAGACAAGAGGGTGTCCCTGGAAAATATCATGAGACCTAACAGTGAACAAAAGGAATCACTCTATAGCTGACAGACATTGCAACATCACCTTCACTCCTACGCTTCTTGGCATTCTATTAGTGCTGGAGCCAAAGAGCACAAAAACTGAAAGAGTGGAAATACATCTTTATAAAAGAATTTACATAAACAACTCACTAAGGTCAGTGCAGGAGCAACAGAACCAGTTGACAGATATGCTTGAAAAGATACACCAAAGGATATTTTTGTAAACAGTTGAAGCTAACCCATTTGGCCTCTGTTATGTTTTCTTCCATTTGCTTTTAAATTTGGGCATGTACTGTATGAGAAAAGCATTTTCAAAGAAATGGCATCTCTAAGCGCACTGGGTGAAGGGAGCCAAGGTACACTGGGCCTTTATAAAGAAATGTGAGCTCATAGTCATGCAGTTGCCCAGTTTTATATAAAAATGGGAAATTTGAGAGGGAATAAAATACTTTATAAAGGATGGGTCCGTTTGTCCATGACTCAGCTCATTTCTGCTCCTATGTCTCAAAAATTCTTATTCCTGTCCTGAGATTTGAGCTCTTGCACTTACATACACCATATGTGTTGATATTTGATTCATTCTCAATTCTATGAAGATATAATGTTTGATTGCATGGATTAAATCTATTCCTTTTAGGGGATTTTTTCCAGTGTCACTTTCACTGCCTTTACTCAATAACTTGAAGATGCAGTTAGAGTCTCACCATGGTCAGCATTCTGCAGCCTCTGGGCAGCAGGTGTTTCCTTCCTGTCTCCCCAAGTCAAGGTTCAAAAGACTAAAAGCAATCAAGTTATTCTGGCACCTGAGGGAGAAAATTTCATGTTCCACTTTTCTTTAGCAGGAAAAACACAAAAATAAATTTAATAACTGTCACATGTTTTGCTCTTCCAATTGAATGTCATCCTAAATCAGCTGGCAGAAGTGGCTTTTCTCATTTTATCTAATGGCAGCATTGGCCCTAAATTTCAGCTTTAGGATGAGAATTTAAAAGTCAACCTAACTACAGTTTTCTTTAGCAAATGTTCCATTCAAGTCAAATGCTATATATTTCTAAATCACAAAGAACTTTTCTTCAATTATAATTTCTGGTAAGATAAGTAAGAGATTATCAGGGGGAAAAATCTTGCCTTTAAAATACTGGTCTCATGCTATTATGTCAAGCAATTAGTCATCTAAGCAATTTATTCTTTGCAGTTCAAGCTTTTCTTCTAATTAGTTGAAACAACAAGTCTTTCTGTTTTGATAGTTGCTTATATAATGAATGCATTTGCTTTCAAATCACCAACTGAGTGCATCATATTATCTTGAAGTAGCTTAATCTCCCTTACCCCAAATACCTCAATTAAGAATTCAGTATTTTTACTTCAGGTTTCAGAAGGGAGCTAACTGCTTAATCTTTTCACACTTCTAAAAAGAATATCCCTCTTAGTGGCTCCCTAGGGAAGTTTAAAAAGAGACTTTAAAGAGAAACAATCACTAGTTCCTGCCAAATTTGGTTTCACCCAAGCTCTACTCAGCAGTCATATAACTGAAATAGCAAAAGAGGCCCAGGTCTTTTTTTTTAAACTGTACTCCAGAATGCCTATTCAAATCAGCTTCGCTCCTGACATTTCCACATCAGAAGTTAATATATGAAGTGAGATCCTTTGTACATTTGGCAAGGCATCCTGTCAACTTAGGTATATCATCAACACAAAATTCCACCCTATGACAATATTCTAAGCATAATTTATCAAACCAATGAATAATTGCACCTTGGACTTTTTCACTTAGCATAACATGGTCAGGAACGGAGTCAGCACCCATGGATGTCCTTCTCCCACTTCAAACAAATGTCTGGAAACCTGGGATTTTGGACATCCGTATAGACTCAATCCATGTCCTTTCTAGCTTTAAAATGTGATAATAAACTGACATAAATACTCTTGGGAAAAAGCAAACTGATTCTCAGTGTAATACTGTAACCTTAAAAGCTTACATTTAGAAGTTGGTCCCACTGGCTTCATAGGAATGCAAGTGTGATTTAGATCCAAGTTAGGTTTCTGTATAATTTCCAAATTTGGGCTGTAGTCCAAAGCACACATACTTGGAAATCAAATACATTGAAATTAATGGGACTCCCTTCCAAGTTAAATGCATTATAACTGAGGCATAATATTCCAGGGCAACAGAATTGGTTCTTGTTGTGTCTTTTCTACTGATCAAACAAAAAGAATTCAGGAGTAGATTGTTTTGTTGCTTGTTTTACTGAAATTTTAGAATAGCTAATCCAAATGAGTGTGCAAGAACTACACTATGTATGGGTACATGGTAATCAAGTAACAATACAAGATCATAAATTATGTTAAATGGATGGATAAAAACAATACACAACTGTTATTGGTCTGGCTACACCAACTCAAAGGGTATCCATCAAACCAGAACAGCCAGAGATGAACTGGAAGCTGATGCTATTTTATAGCATGATGAACTTCACAAGCAAATAGTTCTGAGATTCCATGAGTGGGCTGGAATAGAAGGTTGAGGGAGCACTTTCATGTAACAGAGGACATTTTAAACCTGCTTATGCTAGAAACAGTGGCTTTAGAGGAAGGGTTATCTGAGGTGCAAAAATTCTGAGGACCAAGAGAAGCTGGTTGCATTATTTTCCCATGATTTAACTTATAACCGCAGCACAGTTAAAAATTCATTCAAATAACTTGTAAGTCAGTGGTAGTCAACCTGGTCCCTACCGCCCACTAGTGGGCGTTCCAGCTTTCATGGTGGGCGGTAGGGGTTTTGTCCCCTACTTTATAAATCACCATTACTGTGGAACTGGTGGGCGGTTAGAGAAAATTTTACTACTAACAGAGATACAAAAGTGGGCAGTAGGTATAAAAAGGTTGACTACCCCTGTCGCAAGTTATGCAGTGATAGGCCTCATATAGTATTACAGGTACATCTTGACTTAATGACCACAGTTAGAACTAGAATTTCCATTGGTAAGCTGAGGACCCAGATTGTTGGAGGCAAGATGCTGACTTTGTAAACTTCTTAGAGAGGACTGTAAAGCACTGTGAAAATGGTATGCTAATGCTAGGTAGTTGTTAAGTAAACCATGCTCCATTTCATGATTTTTTTGCTATGTTTGTTAAGTAAATCAAGTGGTTGTTAAGTGAATCTGGCTTTCTCATTGATGTTGCTTGCCTGACATCAACTGGAAAGGTCCTAAAGTATGATCATATGATCTGAGGATGCTACAATCATTTTAAAACGTGTTGTTTGTCAAACATATAAATTTTGATCACGTGATAATGGGAATGCTGTGACAATCATTAAGTGCAATGATTGTCATAAATCACATTTTCCAGTGCCATTGTATCTTTGGTCACTACGTGAATGGTTGTAAGTTGACAAGTACCTGTAATTTTTTTTTATTCTTTATGGATTTTTTGTTTCTACCCAATGTTTATTCTACAACATCATTAGCATCATGTTTTTCATGTTTAAATCATTGGTAAGCTGTTCAGAATCAGTTGGAATAAGGTGCCATATAAATGTAATAAATAATACATAATAAATTATATTTGTATAATTATATGCTTTCCTTAAATGTTTAAATCATAAGGCATCTTTCACTATTGCATAAAATGAATAGCAGCAGCTAAGTAGAGCACAACATAGCTTCTCAACTGATTGTTTTCTGTGCAAAAATCGGTTATATTTGTACATGTATGTTTTGTTTTTTTCTGGGATGTTTTCTTCCAAAGATTCAAAAGCAAATTTTAGTGAAGCACTTCTTTTTGTAATTAGCCTGTGTCTTCAAATCTGATTTGCTCATTGTGAATATTAGAAGTAACTGTTTTGCTTACAGTGGTTTATTTCATATGTATATCTATATATCTGCATACCTCTGTGTGTCTGTGTGTGTGTGTGTGTGTGTGTGTGTGTGTGCATCTACTGAAAAGTTGTGTAGATGGAATAGCATATTGTTGCATGGACAGAGAAGCCAAGAACAACAATAGCAATACAAAAGTATTTCAAAGCCTGCTGCATTCATGTTTATGAATTCTAATCCTCAGCACATGAATAAATACATTTGACAAACTGCAGAGTGCCTTTCTGACCTTTCTAATTTGAGTTCAGTTGCATGTGCCATCATGAGAAGTCAGTGCTGGCCTTGCCAGGTTTTTTTTTTAATGAAAGTGAGTGCAATGTTTATGCAATTTGGAAAGTGGAGTTTCTATCAAAAGGAGTTCTAATTGCGACATTAATAGCATCCAAATAATTGTATCCCCAAGTTATGAAAACCAGGACTTAGTCCTATCCTTTGGCACTTTGTTATTGATTCTATAAGCTGAAATCAGCTTTTTAGCTAACTGTGTGGTTAATAGCTAAGTAGCTAATTCATTGCTCACAAATGAATGAAATTCTCAACTGCAATGATTTGGCATATCTTCATTTAAATAAAGGAAATTAATCGCTGGAAGATCAGATGTCTGAAAAAAATGTCTTTGGGATGGATAAAATATTGCTTTGTCTGTTGGGCTGGATCCATGTAGACAGCAATGACTTCTATTTAAAAAAAGGCATCATTTTTTTAAAAAAATGACTTTCCATTCTATGAATAGCTGATGAAACAGGTTTTCCACTATCACCATATTAAATTTCCCCACAAACGGTTTTTATAAGTGCTTACAAAGGCAAAGTAATTCTAATGACCTTTACCCCCTATTTCTAAAATAGATTATAAATCCAGCATAGTATGACAAATATCCAGGAATTTTTCATTGTTTTATTAACTTTGAATATGCTGGTTACCTCGTTTCCCAGTAAAACATTTAGACAAGCTTCTGATGCATCACAGATGGCAGTAAGATCATGTCCTCCCTCCAGGGCTAGCACCATTCGACCACCTGCCAGTGTCAACAACTGTTTGACGAGGTGAGCAAAACCTGCCATGTCAATAAAATGTGCAAATCAATATATTAGAAGTATTGGTTTGAAATAATCACTGCATATTAGAAGGTATTGGAAACATGAAGAATGAACCAGTGATAGCATCTTCATTTTTAAACAATAATTTAGATTCAGATCCACCAGCCCATGACATCTACAAATATCCTGAAAATAATGTAGAAAAACAGAAGCCTTTTTTTATCAAAGAAAACTTCATGAAACTGGGGACACATATTGACAGAGGTGACCCTTATTGACTAGTTTTATTAGCAATCAATTTTTGGTTTGTAAGATCTTGTTATCAATTAATATCAAACAATATCTTGCTATGTGCAATAAAGTCCTTCATATCTGTGGTTTGAAGCATGTGATTCTGTTTGGAGAGGACTTTTGGTTATTTGGTGTGGAATTGCATGCATGTGTAAAATGATATATGTGCATTTGTGGATCCATAAAGTAATTTTTTTCAACCCACTGTTTTGTTATCTGGGGTGGTTAAGTTGGAATGGAACCCCAGCGAACAATGAAAACTACCTAAAGATTCAGGCATTCAAAAACTTTACAGTATAATTTTGGGCTTATCTACACCAAAGGATTGACTGAATCCAAAGTAAATGCATAGCATTGAAGCCAAAACTTTTTATGCTTTTGGGCCATTTGTTGTACAATAATGGGGACAACCGCCCTCTTGCAATTAGCCCACAGCACAGAAGCCTGTGAAATTCTTCAGAGGTATACTCTGCCCATTAGCTGACATAATTATTCTAATTATATTAATAAAAAAGTGATAAGGAAAATATATTTGTGGCAGATTAGTAAAAAGAATATTTAAAAAAATCTGAATAGGTAGTTAGCAACACTCAACAGAAATCTCCTCTGTGAAAAGTGCTGAGAATTCCTCAGCAGCAAGTAAATTACAGATCTTTTTCTTTCTTTCTTTTGCTTTTTGTTTTTTTTGCAGAAGCACTCTACTTGAGGCTTACAGGAAATATCAGCATGGAATATTGACTCTTAACTCAGAAGATGATGCCAGATGTTAATTTTTCAAGGAGAGCTGCCAGCATTCATGTCTACTAGAAATCATAGCATCTGAAGAGGAAGCCTTGTTCCCTTGTTCCTCGGAAATGGTCTAAGCATGATCAGTGATGAAGAAAATACACTCTGGTTACACTCAGAGGAACTATTTTCACATAGTCCTGGCAACTGGTCTAGTCAGGAACTGGAGTAAGTCTGGACAATTCCATTTTAGAAAAAAATCCAGGACAATGCTCATACCTCCTAGCAGGACAATTTCTCAATAGGGAAAAATACTTGTATATCTGCAAATACAGTTGTGTTACTAATACTTACAGCCAACAAAATATCATTACACATTTATCAATCTAATTATATACAGTTATCCATGTGACTTGGTTATAGAGAATGCCTGTGTTTTAACCAACAGCACTGGCAGCAGAATTATGAAAAAAAGCTTAGAACAAATTTGGACCTTGCATATTCCAAGAATTTTCAAGAAACATTAATTTCCTAACAGAAATCCCTGCAGTGATCAAACATCAGAACAGTGAAAATAAAATTCTAGAAATAATTAAGGAAAAAAGAAAAGTCAAAGCAAAACCAACTCCTGAAGCACCAGTTTTAGAGAAGATGCCCTGCTCTCTTCTATCACAGAATAATAAACTTTCCAAAACCTAATCCAGTTGGGTTTAGAAAAGGTAAGGAAATCAGAAAGAGCATTCCTTTAGTTTTCACCTTCTGAATAACATAAAACCTCAAGAATCCAGCTACAGATCCTGGCATAGGCCTTCCAAAAGTTACCATGGACTATTGTGCCAGTTGTGACTATGGTTTCTCAAGCCATTTCCATTTGGGCAGAATGTGCTACAAAGAAGGCATTTTTTCTGTGGTATGAAAGATTTATACTTGTGTGGCATTTTCTGTGAACTGCAACCATTCAGGGGAAATTTTGGAATGGAAAGTCTTTTTTTAAAATGGAAAATCAAGATTTCTGTTGAGCCTTAAATAGACAATTTTTTAAATTTGGTGGGCGCCAACATTTGTCAACTCAGTTCCAACTGTTTCTTCACAAAATGGAGTTCATTTACTTGACTGAACTATTCTAAAATATTTGGACAGAAGCAGGTTACCCTTATAATATGAAAAGTCTTCCTATAAAATACATCAGAGATAACTGAGGGATAATTCAATTGTGAAACTGATGAGAACTCTGGAAGAAGTTGATTATCTAAATCCAGAGTTTGATGCTTTCTCTCCTCCTGTTCAATAATTGTGTGAAACTGCTGGGTGAGGTCAGTGTATTGGTTTGGAGTTCAGTATGTACTGAACATTGATGAAAGCTAATTATATCTTCTATACCAGGGGTCCCCAACCACCGGGCCGCGGACCGGTACCGGGCCGTGGAGCACTCTTTACCGGGCCGCAAAGAAAAAAAAATTAAAAAAAATGGCGGCTTTCTTCGCCTTCGGTGAATGCTGCTGGGATCGGGGATCAAGGACACAAATGAAAGAAGAGGAGGGAGGAAGCAACCGAAGCCTGTCCTGCTCTCTGGCTCAGCTCTCTCAGTCGCTTTCTCGCTCCTCCACCAGCCCAGGAAGAAACTGCTTCAAAGAAGC